TGCCTCAGCTAGCCAAAAACTAACCAAGAGCAAAGGAGAGCTCTCTCTCTCTCTGTCCACTGCAGACAACACAGTCTGTGAGCAGGAATGTGGGGGAGCCCGTGCAGTCTCTGATAACAAACTCTGCACTTCTTCTTTCCCCCCCTTCACTCCTGGAACCAGTCTTAAAGTTGCAGAATTTAATATTCAACACCAACAGAACAGACGATTTGGGGATACAGGCAGCACACAGTCACCCCGAGACAGGGGTCAGAGGGCTGCGAGCCCGCACTGGGACACCTGCCCAGGTAAACAGGGCTGTCCCCACCATCCCTGTGGCAGGAATAGCGAGGGAAACCGGGGACACCAACCTGGAGGGTTGGGGAGAAATCCTGAGGTGCGATTTCACCTGAAATCTGAGAATTGGGAGTTAGAAACAAAGCACAGAAGGGGGGAGGTGTTGGACTGAGCCAAAGAATGTCAGGTAATTTCGTGCTTTTCTCCAAGTTCCTAACTGTATTAATGTGGGAGGAAATTGAAGTCCCACAGAATGAAAAAAATGCTCCTTTCCAATCTCAGCTCGATCAGAAAATGCCCTCTCAATAACTGGGCAGTTTTCACTCTGCCCCAGCTAATGTTTTCTCTCCACTCTGACTCCAATCCCTTCAGCCAAGCACTTGAAACCCCGAGAAAGGAACCAACTGCACTTTTTAAAAATCACTGTTCTGCCAAACTTCATTCAAAAGCGTTTGTCAAATATTAGGGCTTTCCAGTTCACAAGCAAATATCCTATTCCTATTTTTTTTCTACAATACTGGAGTAATTTTTAAAGCAATAAATATTATAGCAGGCAGTGAGTAAAATGATGAAGTGTCATCCTTTTTAAGTGCTTTTTTGCACCCTGTATTCTGAAATGAGCTGTAGTAGGGACAGCAGCACGGGTCACTTCAGAGGAAAGGAGGAATTGTCTCCTCCTAAGAGGAAAGGCTGGTGAATGGCCATACCAGGAGAATGGATGCAGGAATTAATCCCTGGGATTGCAGACAGAGGGATTAAGACATTCCAGAACTGTGGGGCTGGTGCTTCTCATCAGTCTCTAAATCCAGCTCTCCTCAGAAACAAAAACCCCACAACGTCCCTGAAGGACCCTTCTGTCCTGGCTTTTGTAATGCTGACTTTAGTTAAAGCCAGAGTCTATTAGACTTCTGTTTTCTCCACTGATCAGTCACAAAATGCATTTCCACCCAGCAAATGGTGTATTCTAATATTTGGAAATGATGGTTTTGTTTCATGTTCAGCTTTGCAGTGAAGGTTTTGCCACGGAGGATCCCTTGAAGTCCTCTCCAGATGATATTTCCAGGCTTGCCAGTTGGATCGAGTCAAAACTCGTCATCTGCTACTTAAAACTGGGGCAGCCTGGCCTTGCTCTGCATCATTCACACAGGTGAGAGGAAACAGGGATTGGATTCACAGCTAAGGCTGAAATCCAAAAGGAAACAAAGACTGGGAATAAAGGCTGTGCAGGAAGAACCAGTCTAACAGTGAGAAAAGGGCAATCAAGGAAACAAACCCACCTTGGACGTGACACTGGTGTTTAGATTGCACTCATGGCATCTGTTGAAGGCTCTGGCACACAGGCCAAGGTTCGCCCACCTTGCACCTGTGCCTTGGAAATGTTTCAAAATATCTCGGGTTCACCTTCTGATACATTCCAGATGCTTCCAGGGAGATGGGCCAGACACCTGCTGCTCCTGTTTGGGGAGCTGGGGGTTAACAAGAGCTTGTGCTGTGGCAGTTCTGCTTATGGTACCCACATGCCAAAGGCAAGAGAGAATATTACCCCTGGAACGTTCTTTTCTAGAGCAATACACAAACCCCGAATGGAACTGCATTTAGGATAGAACCACAGTGAAATGAACCTTTAAGTCGTATTTTTAGGAATATTTTCTTCATCAGTCACAGCCTGAGGGAGAGGGAGAAGGAGAGGGAGAAGGAGAGGGAGAAGGAGGAGAAGGAGAAGGAGGAGAAGGAGGAGGAG